AGACAGCCCTTGTGAGGCTCTTACTACAAGTACTTATCCCCATATTACAATGGAAGGAACTCACATGACTTGCCCACAGTCATATGCTAGGAACATAGTCTCACGGGTTTCACGCTGGAAAGGACTTCAGAGGCTGTCCAACCCAAGCATCTCATTTCATGAAGAAACTGAGGTTTAGGGAAGTTAAGTGACTTGCCCAAGGTCACACAGGAAATAAGTCTAAGAGGTCAGAATTAAACCCAGGGTTCTTTCCACTACCCTATTCCTTAAATCTTGAGTGTCAGATCAAGGATTCAAACTAGTTCTCCAGATTCTGATTGCACTGCATGTATCATGCAGGTCCCTACCTCTCCTGGACCTTCATTTCCTCTCTTACCTCTTAAAAGTTTCATTTAAAGCCCTCCCCTATACTAATTCATTTGCTTCTTCTGTCTATCACACTCCTTTCATGGATGCTGCCTTTACTTCCTAGCCTCTCATTCCCTTGTCATCTGCCTTAAGCTTCATTGCTGCCCCTACACTTCTACTGAAACATCTCTCTCAGACAGTAACAATGACTTCCTTCTTGCCAAGTCTAATGGCCATCTCTAAGTCCTTTTGCTCCTTGACCTCTATGCAGCATGCAGCATTGTTGGCCACCCCAATATGAGAATGTCCCCTCCCGTGGCAGGGTTCTGGTTAGTCCCAAACATTGGACTTGGTTTTCTTAGCTCTCTAAATTAATTTTTTAATGAAAAGGTAGGATAGCCACACTCTGTGAGTGGAGCGCTGGACTTGCATTCAGGAAAGTCCAGGTTCAAATCTCACTTTGGACACTTAGGCAAATCACCTAACCTCTCTGAGCCTTGATCTTCTCAAATGCAAAATAAGATAATACCAGAGTATTACCTACGTCTGGAAGAGCTGTTGTGAGGTTCAAATAAGATGATGAAGCACTTTGCAAACCTTTAAACCAGTCAGTTAGTTAACACAATTAAGAACCTGCTATGTGCCAGGCACCATGCTAAGCACTAGGGATGCAAAAAGAGGCAAAGTCAGTCCCTGCCCTCAAGAAGTTTACAATCAAATGGGGGAGAAAACAAGCAAATAAATATGTACAAACAAAAAGGGTAAATAAGAAATAATTAAGAGAGGAGAGGCACTAGAATTATGAGGGTTTAGGAAAAGCCTCCTGTAGAAGATGGGATTTTAGTTGAGACTTAAAGGAGGCCAGTAGGTGGAGATTAAGAGGATGAGCATTCTAGATCTGGGGGACAGTCAAAGAAAATGCCAGGAGCTATGAGATGGAGTGTCTGGTTTGTGGAACAACCAGGAGGCCAGTGTAACTGGATTAAAGACTATTGTATCATGAAGTACGGTGTAAACGCTATACAAATGTTAGCTACTGTTTTTATTGCTGGCTTCTCTTAATCCTCTCACTTCCTAACTATGGGTGTCCTCCAATCCTATTTCTCCTGGCCCTCTGTTCTTCTTCAGTTACTGAATGTGGAGAGTTTATACACTACCATGTATCCAGTTATCACCTTTATACCAAAAACTTATAACTCTAGACCTAATCTCATCTATAGTCTGGTTCCCTTTTCCAACTGCCTAAAGGACTTCTCCATTCAAATGTACCATTCTCACATAAAACTAAGTAAGTCCCAAAATAAAACTTATCAACTCATTGCATCTTTTCCCAATTCCCCAATACCAGTAACTCTTTATCTCTCCGGTTAGAAAACTCTGGTGTCATCTTTAAGTCTTTTCTTCCTCTTACACAATATCACCAAATTCTATTACATCTATAAAATTTCTCTTTTCAAAAATGTTTCTCCTTGTCAATTTCCATTGCCACCACTTAAATCCAAAATCTTACCATCTTATGCCTAAACCAATATAACTGTCCCAAACTCATGTTCTATTTTGGGCCTTATTTCTATTCTTTCTCTCTTTCTTTCTAATCTATTCTGCATATGATTGCTAGACTAATCTTCTAAAACACAACTTCATAGTTTCAGAATTTTAGAGTTGGAAGGGTCCCCTCTGGCCATCTAATCCAACCCAAACTCAAAAGGAGTGGTCACCAACAAATGGTCCTCCAAATTCTACATAAAGATCACCAAAAAAAAGTGCACTTCCTCCCTCTGAACGTGGCTAATTTAATTATGGGATAGTTATAATGTTAGAAGTTTTCCCTGATATCAAGCACAGATTTGCCTTTTTGCAGTTTCTATCCATTGCTCCTGCTCCAGCCTTCTGGGGCCCAACAGAACAAGTCTCATCCCAGTCCACTTCATGTCCCTCCCTTACTTAAGAACCTACTCCCTGCTCCTCACAACATTCAGTACGACCTATCAAGTCCAAACTGCTTGGCCTGGAATTCAAGGCCTTCCAATTCTTGATGAACAATCCCAACTATCCAGTATGAAGTATCTGCTCCAAATTAGTCTCTTCATGATTCTGTACACAAACCAAGATAATTTCCATTTCTACTTTTACATATGCTATTTTCCCCAAGCTGGAATGCCTTAAATTCAATCAAATGTACTTATTCAGTACCTGCTGGAAGACTGTCATGTTCTCCCCCCATTTTACTCTGCCTATACAAATACTTCTCCTCCTTAAAGGCTTAGCTCAAGTAAGTTCTCTTTCTTCCACGAAGCCTTACCTGACTTTCTGGCATCAAGGAATCTTGCCTTTCTCTGACTCCTATTATACTCAAAATCAAGACTATACAATTCAGCACTTATTTCTAATGTTTATTAGCCTTGTCTCTCCAAGTACATCATAAACTCTTAAGGGATGGTTCCTTCCCTACTGCCTTCAAAAATATACTTGTCAGGGCAGCTAGGTGGCGCAGTATAGAGCACTGGCCCTCAGACCTTAGGCACTTGACACAGCTGTGTGACCCTGGGCAAGTCATTTAACCCCATTGCCTAGGCACCCCCCCACAAAAAAAAAATATATATATATATATACTTGTCTCCTTCATCTTTAAAAAAACTTCACTAGGCCCTGCCATCCCTCAAGTTATCGTTCTATATTTCTCCTCCCTTTATCAGTCAAACTCTTGTAAAAAGCTATCTGTATTTGCTGCCTCCAATTCCTCTCCTTTCATTTACTCCTTTTTGCAGCATGGCTTCTGAACTAACCACTCAAACAAAACTACTCTCGGCAAAGTTATCAACAATCTCTTTTAACTGCCAAATCTGATTCTCAGTCCTCATCCTTCACCTTTCAACTGAATTTGACACTGCCTACCACCCTGTCACCCATACTCTCTCTTCTTTGGGTTTTTGTAATCTTATTCTCTCCTGATTCTCCTACTGGTCTGACAGCTTCTTCTCAGTTTCCTTGGCTGGCTCATCATCCTTAACATGGACCCTAACCTTGGATGTTCCCCAAGATTCTAGGTTCTCTTTTCTTCTCTCTCTACACCACAGGTCCTTAATGTAGGTTCCATGAACTTGTCATTTTAACATTTTGATAACTATTTCTATATATTTGGTTTTCTACAAGTTTTATTTTGTGCATTTAAAAAACCATTATTATGAGGAGTCCATAGGCTTCACCAGACCACCAAAGGGGTTCTGTCCATGACACAAAGAAGGGCCTAAGAACACTTTCTCTCCAAGACCTTCTCTTGATGACCTCAACACTTCCCATATGTTTAACTATCATTTCTCCATAGATGACGCAGATATATCTGACCCCTGTCTCCACTAAGCTTCGGTTCCACATCACAAAATGCCTATATGGACGTTTGAAACTATACGTCCCAGAGGAATCTTCACTCAAGATGTTTAAAGCTAAACTCATTTTCTTTTCCCTAAAATCCTCCCTTCTTCCAAAACTACCCTATTACTGTTCTCCCGTTCATAACCTCAGTACTCTCCTGGACTCTCCACTCTACCTAACCTCATATATCCAATCAGCTGTCATCTTGCCATTTCTACTTCCACATCTCTTCCATCAGGCCCCTTCTTTCCACTCTAAGCTATCGTCTTAGTTCAGGCCCTCATTCTCTTTCACCTAGATTATTCCAAGTCTCCTAATTGGCCTCCCTCCCACAAGTCTCTTACCATTCCAAGCAACATCTTACACACTGCTGCCAAAGTAATAGTTCTTAATCCCAGGTCTGACCGTGTTACTCCACTACTCAATCAATTCTGATGCCTTCCTATTCCCTCTAGGATTTAAAAAGAACAAAAACAAAAGCCCACCACCCTCTGGTTAACTTTTAAAGCCTTACATGACCTGGTCCAACATATCTTTTCAGCCTCACTGGACACTATTTCCCCTCCACACTCTGCAATCCAGCCATACTGACCTTCTCTCTGTTCCTCATATGTGACAGGCCATCTCTCATCTCTGTGCTTCTGCACTGCCTCATCCCATACCTCCATACCTGGAGTTCTCTCCCTCTTTACTTTGGCTCTTTCTTCTATTAAGAGTCTTTCTTCTATTAAGATATAGCTCAAACACCATCTGTTGCAAGAAGTCTTTGCTGATCCCCCCAAATGCTAGTGTTTTTCTCCCAAATTAGGATGGTACTTAGCTACTTTGTATTTATTCTGTATTTACATTTATGATATATAAATATAAAAACTTGTCTCCTCCATTAGGATGTAAGCCCCCTTGTGGTAGAAGACTCAATCCTTGTCCTTGAATTCCCAGGAGGAGGTGTCTATCTTTGTCCTTGCAATCCCAGTTCCTGGCACACAGTAGGTACTTTACAAATGTCTGACTAATTGATTTACAGCAGGGACTTCTGCATGCTCCTAAAGAGCGGGGTACATAAGCAACTCAAGAGACTGAGAAGGGAAGTAAAACACAGAGATGAGATTGTGTGGGAAGAAATCAAGAAAAATAGGGAGAAAGGTTAGTGATACTGGAGGGACAGGTCACAGGGGGAGACAACAGAATCAAATATAAATATTCCTTTTGCCCACCATCCCTACCACTCCTCCCCTCATTAGCACAGACATCCCCTTTGACTCTTCACCTGGCCTCCTCACCTTCTTGGGGGAAAAGACGCCCACAGTCCCCCCATCCTCTCGTACGGCCACACCCATCTCTGCCAGCAATGCTTCTCTGTGGGTAAGGAAAAGAGAGGCTCAGATTGCTTTCCTTTTGCTCCCCATGCTTCTTCTCCATAAGGATAAATTACCCAATCCCTAGTTCTTCCCTTTCTGGACACCCAGGCATCCACAGACCTCACAAAATCCATACCTCTCCATTCTTAGGGCTTCCGTCTTACGTAACTTCTCCTCCCATGTTTCATTCAGCTCTGCAATGATCTTTTCTGTCTCCTGGAACCATAGAGACAGTGGGTCAGCACATTCTCTGACAAGCATCTCCCATGGAGATCTCTCAAGCACACAAAGCCCCAGCTCCCTCCCACTCCAAGAAACTCTGGTGCTCTCAGCCCTCTCTCCCACCCATTGACGGACTCCCAGGTTTCTCACCTGTAGTCTCTCCATAGCTTCCTCAGGACCAATATGTGGCTCAGCATTGGAAGAGAATGATGATTCTAGCTCCCCATTGTGAACTGGAGGACCCAAAGGTGAGTCTGGGGCAGGTGGGGACGACAGGGCAGGCAAGCCAGTCCCACAGCTTCCCTCCTCTGGCTTTGCAACTGGGACAGAGAAAGAGGCAAAAGAGAATGAGTCTGAAAAGACAGAAATACTATAAAACACAAAGAAAGAAACATCTAGAACCATGGAATCTTACAGAGTTAGAAGGGAATTTAGAAATCATCTGGTCCAGAGCAACAATCCTTCCTACAGCTATTCATCAACAATTCAGCATATGAAGCTACTAAGCTTAAGTGCTTACACTATATATCAGGGATGATACACAAATTCCCTGCCCTCAAAGAGCCTCTGTTTTACTGGGAAGATTCATGTCCAAATATAAGTAAATACAAGGTAATTTGAGGAAAGGAAGAAAGAGGCAAGGCTTTAGGGTCAATGGCCTCTGAGCTGGACAATAAAGATTCTGAGAAGGGGGGTGAGCATTCCAGGATTAGGGGATGGCTTGTGACAAGGCATAAAAATAGGAAATGGCATATTAAATTCAGGGAATAGCTAGAGGGCCAGTTTGGCAGCAATTAGAGAATATTAAAGAGTAATATGAAATATCAGGTCTGGAATAGGTTGGTACCAAGTTATGGGGGACTCTAAATGTAGGCTGGGATGTTTATACTGCATCCTAAAAAAAAAAAAAAAGGAAAACACTTAAAATTGTTTTTAACGGGAGGGTGACATGGTCAGACCTACAACACAAGATTATTTTGGTAACTTTGTGGAGGATGAATTGAAGAGGCAAGAGAAAAGAGGCACAGAAACCAATTAGGAGGTTATTTTAACAGTTCAGGTAAGATGGGATCAAAGTCTAAGGGCCTGAACTAGGGTAATAATTGTGTTGAAAGAAGGAAAAGGATGGAATAAGGAGAGATAATATCACTAACACTTAGCAACTGATTAAATATAAGAATGAGGGATGACTCCAAATAAGAAACATGGTGACAGACGTCCTCAAAGAAATAGTAAAGTTAGATATAGGGGAAAGTTGGGGGTAGTAGGGAGGGAGAAGAAGTTATGTTCTTCCAGCCCCACTTGAATATCTTCAAGGACAGGAAGTTCACTGATTGCCTCATTAAGTAGTTCAAACCATCCATTCCATTGTTGAATAGCTTTATTAGAAATTTTTTTTAATACTGAGCCTAAATCTTCTCCCTTGTTAATATTCATCCACCCATTTGTTTTGCCCTCTACTAAAACAACAGGGAATAAACCCACTCTCCCTGCTACATGGCTGTCTTTCATGTTCTCCAAGGGCAGAGATGGGAATGATTATGGCAAGTAGGTGGCACAGTACATAGGGCAGTGGACCTGTAGTCAGGAGTACCTGAGATCAAATTCTGTCTCTGACACTTAGCCATGTAAAATAAATCATGTCACTTAGCCTCTGTTTGCCTCAGTTTTCCCGTCTGTAAAATGGGGATAGTTATATGGATTTAAATGAGATAATAATTGAAAAGTGCTCTGTAAACCTTAAAGATCTTTAAAAATACTAGCTGTTATCATCATTATTGTTAATATTGTGGCTTGTGTAAAGAACAAGACAATTCTATATCCCCCTTAGTTTTTTCTTCTGGACATGCTCCAATTCGTCAACATCCCTTTAAAAACAACTCAATATAAAATATGACATTAGAGATGTGATCTGACCAGTATAGAATATATTAGGGTTATAATCTTCCTATGATCTGGACTCTACATACTTCTGAAAATTCCTAGATCCTTTTCTTAACAACTGCTGCCATGCCAGGTCTCTATACTTATAAAGGTGACTTTTAAAACTTAACTATAGGAATTTCTATTTATCCCTATATTGTCTTGCTGGTTTAGTCCCAGAATTCTGGTCTATCAAAATAATTCTGAATCCCGATTCTCTCCATGGTATTAGCTATTAACTTTGTGCCATTTACAAGTTTTATGAGCACCTACCCTAGATCTTCATTATGTAAGTAATAAGCACTTGATAATAAACATGTGTTGAATTGAATTCATCCAAAACATTAACAACATTAAGGAACACCCTGACCACATACAGGGGAGGAATCTGTGGCAGGTAAAGGATGGAACACCAGCTCCCAACCTCCCAGTCCCCTATACCTCCCAGAGCAGAGGCTGAGAGCCCCTGGGCCAGCAGCAGGTCTCGGAGCCGGGCTACCTCCTCCTGTAGCTCTCTGATCAGCCGTGCATTGGGGTCCTCATTGATAACTGCATTACAGCGGATCTGCTTGGTGCGGTCTGCATATCTGGGGCAGGGAGGGAGGGTCAGGGTGGCCTAGACTTCAGCCAGCTCCCTTTTATTGGTCTGTTTGTCTGTCTGCATCTCCATCTCTTCCAATCAATCAACATGTCTAAAGGTGTAGCAGGGGCACTACAGAGCTCTTAAATCAGGGTCCTAAGCAACTATTCCCTAAATCCCTGGCTTCCCCTGCCTTCCATCTGATGCCTTCAGTGTCCCAGAGCCCCAACCTGAGGGTGCTGAGTGTCTCTTCATAGTTGATATCTGCAGGGCTTAAAGCTGCAATCATTGCTGTGCGTGAATTTCCTCCTGGAAATAAAGGAGAGAAACCTGGATTTCAACAGGGGTCAAGCTGGCTGAGGGTCAGGTAGTGAACATAAGAGCCATGGTAGGGCAGGGCACTTGGGGGATGGAGAGTGGGAATTAAATGAAGAATTATGAAGTTAATAGTAGAGTCTTGGTGGCAATGAGAGAACTGTGAAATCCCTGTGAAGGTCCTGGGGTTAGTGGGAGGTATGGGAAGTGACTAAGTGGTTATAAAGACAGCAGGGAACCTGGCCAAGTGGAAACAACAATCACTGGCATAACAGACTCAATAAAACGGGAGAGGGTAACATAAAGAAAGGTGGGGCACAGGAGCTCTCACCTAAATTCTCCTTTAGTAGCCAGGTAAGCACAGAGTCCCTATAAGGGATGAAATCTGATTTACGCTTCTTTGATTGCTAGGGAAAAAAAGAAAGTGCAAGGGAGGATTAGTTGGGACCTGTTTCACCACTATAACTCCCTCTTTTCCCCAATACCGATCCAGGTCTTACCATCTCTGCTAGGGCTGAGATCACTTTTCCTAATGTGGTGAGGGACTTATTTATATTGGCACCTTCCTGGAAGGGGAAGAGAAGAGTATGGGCAGTGAGATGGCCCCTGAATCACTCCCACCTCCCCAACAAGAGAACCTCCTCCACCCCCACCTTCTTCCTAGAGCTCCACACACCATACTGTCAGAAATGGATCTCTTCCCATGACACGCCCTATGTCTCCAAAACCCTTCTCACCTTCAGCCGCATGCCCCGGGCCCCTGAAGAATCAGCTCGTTCACTCCCAGCGAGATCCACCAAACTAATTTTACTGACCTGGAGGTCAGAAGTTAAAAGAAGAGACAGGAAGTGATGAGTTAGGCCAGGGGAAAGAGGAAAGGAGAGAAAAGCAAAGAGGAAGCATGATGGAACTACCCAGCAGAAACTTGGGAAACTACTCAGTGGCTGGAGGAAAAGGGTCTACAAGCATTTAATTTATTTTTTCTTTCTGAAGGAAGTGGTGGAAACCGGAGGAAAGACAATCAGGATCAAAGTGACATACTCTTTCCAATAATGTGGGGAAGAGTGTTTCCCTGCCCTGAGAGGAAAAGCAATGGGTCCTAGGTTGAAGAAGAACAAATGGTGAGGAACCTAGAGAGGAGACAGAAAGCCCCACCTTCTCTGTGTCCAGTCCTGAGAATTGGTCATGGCAACGTTGGGTAAAAACAATGGTGAAGACAGCATGGGAACGGCTACTAGTTTCATTCATGTTGGTGGCAGCCACTGTCCTGAAGAAAGGGAAAAGGAGGGGATTGGGATCTAGGGATCTAGTCTAATTAGCCTTAGCCTGGGATTTAGGCACTTCAGGTCCAGACTTCCTCCCCCTCCAGTACTATTTCCTTCTAGCTCCCAGCCCTCACCGGGCCTTGTTGCCACAGTCCATGAGGTCAGCAATGTCGGCATAAGAGGTAACTGCCAGCTTGGACAGGTCCTGAACATAGGGACCTAAGATGGGGTGCTCTCGCACCCGCAGTCCTCCCCTGCTCTTGGGGTTCAGAAGGTCCCGTACACGCTCACAATAGATCTCCATGTAGCTCACCTGGAGTGGAGGGTACAATGATCTGTGTGGGTTAGTTTTAACTTGCTTCTCTGTCCCACCTAACCCAGTTCTGGGTCCCCCAGGGACCCACGCATTTAATTCCTTCAAGTCCTTTTCTCACCTCCACAGAGTAGGACAACTGAGTATTCTGGTTCTCGTTAACCCGGGAGAAGAGGTCCTCACAGAGCTGAAGGAGAGGGGAAAGGGGAAAAAAAAAAAAAAAAAAAAAAAAGGCAAGGATCAGACCTCTCCATGCCACTCTAATCACCACAAACTCCACCAAGAAAAGGAACCTAGCTCCAGTACCCAGTCTTCTCCCTCCCAGCTAGCTAGTTCACATTCTCCTCGAACCCTAAACCCAGGTGCTTTCTAAAGTCCCAAGAGTCCCTTGGGTCAAGCTCTCCAATTCTCTAATCTTTAGGCTCTCCCTTTACCCTGAAACCTCCTCTTCCTTCTGCAAAATCAGAGACTTGTGTTCTTTGCTACTGACTTCCCTCAGGGACCCAGGGACCTCCCATTTCAGTTCTCCTGATATGTCTGAGGGATGTACCTGGGGTACAATGCCTTGCTGCCCAGGCTCCTGCCGCCCCATCATGGTATAGGATTTTCCAGCACCTGTCTGTCCATAGGCAAAGATGCAGACATTATAGCCCTCAAAGGCATGAAGCAGCATCTCTTCTCCAATATCCTGATACACTTGAAGCTGAGATGCAAACTGAGGGTCCTCTGCCTGAAAAGGATCAAGAACACAGAAGTAAGGTAGGAGGGCAAGGAAGAGATGAGAACCAGCTGCTTTGGTCTTCAGTTTCGAGGACTCAAGCATCTTGTCCCCTAGTCGCTATTCCCTACCCAGAACCCAAGAACCTAACCACACCCTACCTTTTCCAGGCCTTCCTCACTAGCCAAAGTCCTACTCCCACCCCTCAAATCCTCAGTTCCTCCCTCCCCTGCTCCGTTGAAAGACACTGTGGTCTACCCTCCCCTATCAAATAAGCAACCTCACCGAAGTGTGGGACCAGTAGGAGTAGTCGAAGGTGAAGCTTTTGGGGGCATCCTTGCTCTGCTTGGGATTGGTGATGGCTAACAAAAGGAAATGAGGTAAGGACAGGAATGGGCTCCAAGCTCCCAGCCCCAGAACTCCTTCCCCATATAGCCTCAGCCCTTGCATCAGGGAACCAGGAACCCTCTGCCCCAGTTCACAGCTCCCATTTAAGACTCCCCAACCCCCTCTAGTCACTAGAGCTAATTTTGGCTCCCTAAGACCTGCCTTCCCACTGAGCTGCCTCCCTGATTGGGCAATGAGGGCTGCAGGCCAACATTCCTTACCCCCCCACCCGCTCCATGGCCCAGAGAACACACAAGAGAAAGGACTGCTCCCACCCCCACCCTATGCTCACCTAAAACCCTCCCAGTGCCTCCAGTGGGCATGTCCAGTGTCCTCCAGCCTTCCCCCAATCCCAGAAATCCCTGTCAGTGCCCCTGGGACTCACTCACAGGTGGTGTTGCCCTGCATGCTGACCACACACTTGGCATCATGGCTGCTCTCTCGGGCGTTAAAGGGTCGTACCCTCACAGCAACCTTCACTGAGGCACCTGCCATGGCCCTAGAGACTCCCACCCCACTCAGCTGGAAAACGGAAGGGGAAGATGGTACAGGTAGCACCAAGAAGAGAAGAGGTGACAAGAGACTACCATCCCACCATTTCACCCCCCTCAGGGCCCCAAATATTTCCTACCTTTCCCAACTTTCCAACCATATATGCACTTAGAAACCCACTTCCATCTCCCAACCCTGGTTCTCTCCCTCACCCTGTGTGTCCTTCCCTCTTTCCTTCCCCCCTCCAACTCCCAAGCCTGTTACCTGGTGTCCTGGCCCCAGGTTGGGGGTACTGTGTTGCCTCTGGCTGCCAGTGGCCCTTGTAAGGGGGGCCCCATCCTATGCTTTGGGCCTGGTTGCTCCTGGGTTGTAGGGGACAAAGGACAACAATGGGCTATAGAGAATATTGGATGGAGTGCCCTGAAATCTCTAGGTTTTATCTAGGGGGCATGGCCAGAATGGTAGGAGGGTAATGGAGGAAAAAATGAAGTGACCAACAGTCTAGGTGAGTTTTGTCCAAAGTGAAACCACAACTTGGAGAACTATCCTAAACCTGCCAATAAAGGCTAGGACACACAGACCTCAGGTAGAGAGACTCAGTTTGGGAGTGCAGTTGAATGAAAAGAAGATGCAATGAAAAAATATAGTGAAACATAAAGGAGTAATCGAACAATTAGGATGGGACATAGAGACATTAAAAAGGAGAAGAGTTCTGAGACAGAAAATGGGAGACAAGAAGAAACGGAGAAAAACACAGAGAAATCTATAACTAACTTCCTACCCTGAAGGATTCTGACCCCATCTGCCTAGTCAGTTGACAATCGTTTATTAATCAATACTGTACTAAGCCCTGAGGATACAAAGAAAGGAAAAAATAACCTTTATCATCAAGGAATTCACATTCTAATGGGGAAGACAATATGCAAACAATTATGTATATACAAGAAACATATAGGGTAAATTGGAGGTCATCTCAGAGAGAAGGCACTAGCATTAAGCCAACATGAAAGAAACACATACATATGTTTATATAAATTACACACATACAACAGCCCACCAGCCAGTCTCCAAATGTAAATGTAGAAAGATAAAGGTGATTACAGAGAAGTCCTCAGGCTTTGAGGTTCAGCACCCAGAACCTGGGATCCAAACATCACTAATTACTTTGAGATTCTTCAAACCCACCTGCCTCCAGCACCTCAGCTCTTCCTTCCAAGGACAATGAGATTAGGAGGGTGGGGCCATGCTGTTTCCCTACAATTCTCTAGGGAAAGGGCTCTTACCAAGAATGAGTAAAGGGGATACCCAGTTCCTGATGGAGTAGAGGGAGGGAGAAAGAGCCAATAAAAGGGAGCTTGGGTATTCAGATACCTGGGTCCTCAAAAGAGGAAACTGCCTAACTCTACTCTCAGATCCAGGACCCAAGCATCCAGCACCCTGCTGTCTAGAAGGTGTCAGGCAGGAGCCTAGGAATGTGGATGAGCTGGTGCCTACACCCTGGGAGGAGAGAGGCTGAGCCAGCCTACGCCCATACAGGACAAGGGCAGGGAGGGCATAAGGGTTTTCCTCTTCACACCCAAGACCCCATTTACTCTCTGCCTCGGGTTGCACAGGCTAGGACTTGGGAGGCTGGGGGGAAAAAATGGGAGATAGGGCTGTCTGGACAGTGACAGAAAGACTTCCAAGTGAGATCCCAGCAGATACCTCCGGAAGTACAGCCCTGACCTGTAACTCCCCATTGGGGAGGGGAAAAGAAGGGACAGCAGGTTGGGATACTGGGCTGAGAGTGGGGGCTCACCCCCCTAGGATACACGAAGGGCAGAGTGGCCTCTTGGCCGGACACTGGTGGTAGAAAGTGGGGCATGAATGAGAGCTGGGGGGGGTGCTCAAAGCAGCCAGTCATAAGGCCCGAGGAGAGGCGAGGAGGAGAAGAAACGCAGATTGAATTGGATAAAAGAGACAGACAGAACCCCGGAGGATGGAGACGGAGGGAGGTGCACGGGATGTAGGCAAGGCCGGGACGGATCGCCCGGGGAGTGGGGGGGACCAGCGGAACCAGCAGGGAAATGCCAGGGTGCCCAGCCCTGCCCGCCCAATGCCAAGGCCCCCACTTCCTCCCCTAGCCACTGGGGGCAGCCCCGGCGGGACCGCGGCCCGCGCGGGGGCGAGGGAACACCGCGGCACCCGGTGGTGGGTGCCCGGGCCGGCCGGGCCGCCCGGCCGGCGCACCTCGCCTCCTGCCCCGCGCTGAGTAATGTGCCAGGAATTCAGCCGAGGCCCCCCTGGCCAGGCCCGCCCGGCCTGGGCCTGCTCCTCCTTGTCCGCCTGTCCCTCGGACAGGCGCCGGGGGTCTTCCCCGCCACGCCCGTACCCCGGGCCCAGCGTTCCTCAGGGGCCGCGAGCGCTCACCTCGGCTCCCCTCCTCCTCGTCCTCCTCGTCCTCCTCGTCCCGGGATCCGCTCTCGCTGCCCGACTGCCCAGCGTAGGGCGAGGGGGCTCTGGAGCGATTTCCCTCAGGCCCCTTGCACCGGCGCCGGGGCAGGAGGCGGCGAAAGCCTGCGAGCAAAGAGAGCTAGGCAGCAGCGCGGCTGCACCCGGCCGCGGCGGCTGCAGCGAGCGCCCGGGCCGGGGGGGGCGGGGGGCGGGGGGGGACGGGCTCCGCGCGCGCGCACACGCGTGGTCACGGCGGGGCGGGCAGACAGAGCCGGCTACTCCTCTTGTTAAAAGGGCGATGCGCCTCGCGGCGGAGAGCCGACCTGGAGAGCTCTGCGAGAGCCCGGGCAGGGTGCCCGAGCTCCACCGGAGAGGAAGAGAGGTGAGTGGGGCATCCCGCTCCCCACCCTTCAGGGCGCCACCTGGCGGGGCCTTCCGCGTCTGCCCTTGCCAAGCTTACGGCTACCCCTCTGCGACTGTTTCAGGTGCTGATGCCGCCACCTGTCAATCTCTCAGCCCTGCTGGCTATGAGGCCGCTCCATGCTACCCCTTCTCCCTTTCTGCAGCTCTCGATCTCAAGCTACCCCAGCTACTCTCTGTCCACCAACTGGCTTCCTCTGCCCATAATGATAACTCGCATTTCTATAGCATTTTGAGGTTTACAAAATGCTTTCCTCGCAACATCTCTGTGAGGCAGATAGTGCAAGTATTAACACTGCGAGTGTGATTTCTTTACAATTCTCCAGGTGACCCTTCTGGCCCCCCTGGACCCCCAACTCCTTTGTTAATCTTAATGGTTTCCAACCGATTCCATGGTTCACTCGTAGTTATCTACAGTTGTTCCTCGGTTCATCTCTACACATCTGAATCGTCCTCTGCACTCCTAGTCCTCAACTACCCCTGTGCGTTTCTATTTCCAACTGCCCTTTCTGTTCACCCTTAACTTTCCCTAACTACCCCTTTACCATTCATCTAGTACATTCATTAAAAGTCTTTATCTCTGTTTTTAGGTGGCACTTCCCTTTACTCACAGGTCCCAAATTCTGAACCACTACCTGTACCCCAAATGCCTAGATTTTTGACACTACCCCTCCCCATCCTTTTACCCGGCTTCCCTCTGCCTATCCCCAATTGCCAATTTAGCGCTACCTGCAACCTGTCATTTACTACCTTTGTACCTGTGACTCCAGTGGTCACAGGTACCTTCACTATACCCCTGATCCTTGCCCTACCTATTCCTTCCCCCAATACACATTTCAGATTCAGCTACTCCACAGCCCAGCAAACCAGCCCAATCCTCTACCGTCAGGAAGAGGATGGAGACTTTCCTTTGACCACACCTTCCATCCCCTGCTTCACATGTCCCCTGAGGTGACCAGGGGCCAGGCTAGGAGATTCTGCACCAAAGTGACTTTCTCCTGCTACTGTGTCAGCCCAATCCTCAGGTAAGAAGAGAGGCTAGAACTTCCTCAGACTTAGCCTTCCATCTACTGATCGTGTCCCTTGAGGGAAGACCTCTAGATTAGTCCACCAAAGCAACTTCCATCTGCTGCCAGCTTAATTTCCCAAAGGAGATGTGAAGAACCTCTGTTGCAAAGAGGAGCAACCTTCCCTTTGACCTCAGGCCTTCCATCTCCTGCTCTGCCTTTTTCTTGATAGAAGAGAAAGAAGCAAGTCTCTGGGGAGTGGGACTTCCATCTCCTGCCAAGCAATTTCCTACCTAATCTTCAGCTTTTGGAGGGAAGAGGAGTAGTGAAATAGGGCCTCACATCTAACTATCTGCCTTCCATCTCATGCTCCACTTATCTTCAGCCCAATTTCTAGCCTCTTCTGAAAAATGATTGGCACCTTCCACTCAATGAACATTCTCACACCTGGTCATATCCTACACCTCTCAGTGATTCTGAACACTGGTAAGTCATCATTCAAACTCCATTCCCCGCCCTTCACCATCCAATTCTTTATTCCCATCCCCCTCAACCTTCTCACCCCAAAGTTCCACCCACCCCTTCTACTGTGCCCTCTGGAATGCCTGTTCCATTGGTAATAAGCTTTTCTTGGTCCTGAATTTTTTTACTTTCTCCCTCCCAATCTTCTAGCTGCTACTGAAACCTGGCTCCCCACTGATGGGGAGCCTCCTTGTCTACCCTTTTCAGTACTAGTTTCATCTTCATTCATTCCCCTTAGCTCCATGGTTGAGGCAGGCAAGTTGGAATGCTCCTTGCTTCCACATAGCCACTTCCAGGTCCTGCCCCTAACTCCATCATTCCGTAACCTCTCCTCTTTTGAGGTTCATGCAGTTCATATCTACTGCTGAATAAAAATCCTGGTAGCTGCTGTCTAGAGAGTCCTCCAGGTCATTCCTCTTCCTTCCTTAATGAGTTTGATACCTGGTTCACAATTTTTCTCTCCTCCCCAGCTTCTGTTCTCAAACTTGGGGACTTCAACATACATATTGACTCTCCCTCAAACACCTTGACTACTCAGTTCCTCAACTTATTCACTTCCCATCACCTACTCTACCACCTCACCTCAACTGTACACAAAGATGGTTGTACTCTTGATCTTGCCATCACCTTCCTGTTCAAGAATTCCAAAATTCCTTTACCTGATTATAATCTGTTAGCTTTCTATCTCTTTCTTGCCTTCCCTTACCAGACTCTGTTCTTTGTCCACGCCATGACCTTTATGCCTTGACTTCTCAATTCTCTTCTAGGCTGTCACCCCTGCACTAGCCACTATTTCCTTTTTCCCCCATTTTGACTCCTTGGTGAACCAGCTCAACTCTACACTACTCTCTTCTGAATCTGTAGCCCTTTTATGATATATCACTGAATGCACCCTGCCAAGCCTCAGCCTTGGATGACTCCTACTATCTGTTGCCTTTATTTTTTCACATGTGATGCTAAATGAAGGTGGAGAAAAATCACACAACCATTCTAACTGGGTTTACTAAAACTTTATGTTACACAATCTCAACTGGGCTTTCACTGCTACTACTATACCTCTCTTATCAACTCACTATCCCACTCTCCATAGTGGCTCTTCTGATTCTTTTTGTCTCTCCTAACACCTCCCATGGCTCCCCCTTTCCCCCTCAGCTGAGAACCTTGCCTCATATTTTACAGGAAAAAAATTGAAGCCATAAGCTCCCTCTTCTCCCCTCTTCCTCATTTCATATCATTCAAATGCTTTCTGCCACTACCTCCTCCTTCACCCCATCTTACAGGAAGACATTACTCTCACCAGGAGGAGGGAACCCTTCTACCTGTACAAGCCATCCTATTCCATCCCACCTCCTCCAACAGATTGCATCCCTACTCTGTCCCTTATTTTTAGTTTCTCCCTGTCTATTGGCTCCTTCCTACTGCCTACAAACATGCCCATTTCTCCCTCATTCAAAAAACTGTCACTTGATCCTCCCATCCCTAATTACTATCTTCCTATCTTTTCCCATCTTTCATGCCTGAACTCCTGGAAAAGGTTCTTTGAAGTAAGTGCTCCACTCTCTCCTCACTCTCTTCTTAACCCCTTACAATCTGCCTTCCAACTTCATCATTCCACCAAAACTGCTCTCTCCAAATTTACCTGTGATCTCTTAATGGTCAAATCCAATGGCATGTTCTCAATCCTCATTCTTCTTGATCTCTTTTCTCTAGATTTTTGGGACACCACTCTTTCCAAACTACTCCTCAGTCTCCTTTGCTGCATCCTACTCCAGATCATTCCCTAGAACTGTTGGTGTCCCACAAGGTTCTGTCTAGGTCCTCTTCTCTGCTCCTTCTATGCCACTTTACTTGGTGATCTCATCAGCTCCCATGGATTTAATTACCATCTCTTAACATTTAATTCTCATCTCTACCTATCCTGCCCTAATGTCTCTGGGGACCTCCATTCTCACATCTCCAATGCCTTTCATAACTGGAAGTCTAGTAGACATTTTAAACTCAACATGTACAAAACAGAACTCATTATCTTTTCCCTTAAACCCTTCTCCCCTCCTAACTTCCCTATTACTTTGGGCAATGTCATCCTCTTGGCTCAGAACCCAAGTGTCATCCTCAACTTCTCACTCTCTCAATCCCTATATCCAATATGTTGCTAAGACCTGTTGATTTGATTTTTACAGCATCTCTGGAATACTCCTCCTCTCCTCTGACACTGTTACCCACTGTAGTGCAGGCCTTCATCACCTCAGCCTGGATTATTGTAATAGCCTGCTGGTGGATCTACCTACTTCAAGTTTCTCCTCACTACAATCCATTCTCCATTCAGCCACCAGAGTGATTTTCCTAAAGTAAAGGTCTGACCATGTCACCTCCAAACTCAATAAACTCCAGTGGCTCCCTATCATCTCAAGATCAAATACAAAATCCTCTGACATTTAAAGCCTTTTATAATTGTGCCTCCTCCTATTTTTCCAGTCTTTTTATACCTTACTCCTGGACACATACTGTCTAATCCAGTGACACTAACCTCCTAGATGTACCATGAAGAAAAAAAAACACTCCATTTCTCAGTTCTAGGCATTTTTTCTTTTCATAATTCCTCATGCCTGGAATGCACTCTCTCCTCATCTCTGCCTACTGGCTTCCTTTAAGTCCCAACTAAAATGGCATGTTCTACAGGAAGCCTTTTCTAAACCCTCTTAATTCTAGTGCCTTCCCTCTTTTAATCACTTCATTTTTATTCTCTATATAACTTGTTTGTAAATTTTTTTTTTTTGCTTATTATTTCTCCCTTTAGGTTGTGAGCTCTTTGAGGGCAAAGATTGACTGTCTTTTGCTTCTTTTTGCATTCCCAGTACTTAGCACTTAAGAAATGTTTATTAACTGACCCCTATTCTATTCTAGGAAATCAGATATAAGGTACTTAGGTGAAGGTACTTTCTAATATGAATAATTTGGTTGTTGAAAGGGGCAGATCATTTTTATGTATGAAAAATTAATAAAATCCAGTTTGAATGTATATGTTACCCAATGAGCTTAGATGAAGAAATACAATTTCTCAGATAAAATGCGGAAGAGAAAGATACACTATTAGGAAGACCAGAGAAAAAACTGACCATCAGATCAATGTAGCGAGAGGATCTGTTTCAAGGCAGAGAAATTATA